ACCATTCGCCTGGAGGTTTCGCAACAACGAACAACCCGTGCGAAGTATTCGATGCGAGCATAAAGAGATATACATAGCGAAAGGCTGTAGACACAAGACGCTTGATTTTGAAGCTTCTTACTATTGCGGAAGACTATTCGATTTGTGTACCACCTCATCAGCGATCGTCGCTTCGGATTCCTCCGCAAGAAGCAAAACAAATTGGCTAAAGTTCTTGTCACAACCCAGCGGGTAGCAGTTTTTCGTACGCCTAAGGAATCGGTTGTTCGTGTTCGATATCTTGGCGACCAAGAGCGCGATAACGGTGATATTCTCGACATTTCTGGTATTGGTGATTCAGGGGTGGAGAGTGCTACGACAGGGAAAGATCTCGTCAGTTCTGAAGGATGCCTGACGGATATGGAAAAAAAGACGGCAGCAACATTCTATAAGCTAGCCGTAAAATGGTCAGTCCGGCGCGCGCATCATACTTGAATGCCGCCAGGAGGGTGGCTTGTTCGTACTCGCACTTTTGAGTGCATGTGTGCATACTACAAGAAATTCTTGTCCTGCATTCATGTAATATGTGGTCGTATGGCGTTGGGGCTTAGTGTGCCAGGCGTTGGCGGTCTGCACATGCAATTTAAGGATCGTAGAGTTTGACTCTCACGCAATAAGAGGCCAAAACCAGCGGGACACTCAATATTACGCTGCAACGACGAGAGAACGCTTTCATATGCCGAAAGAGGTTGTTGCCCTACGACGACAGAGGCAAACCTCACTTTATCACCTGGTTTAGATGCCATAAATTCGTCGGTGGAGGCATTTCAATATGAATTTCATTCTGAAAGTGCCCCGTTGGAAGGAGTACAAACGGTACTTGTGAAAACAATACGGCCGCTAGGAGTGAATGTCTCGGTGTTAATTACATCGACTTTGCTGGTGACAGTGAGACCGTAGTGTTGGAACACGTTGGACTTTCCAATTTCCATACAAACGATTATAAATCGCAAGGTGCAACAGTAACAGCCGAAAGCCAACTTCAGAGTACAGTTAGCAATACAGAATCATCCGCGCTTTCTGGGGTATCGAGAGTCGACATTGTGTCGCTGTTGGCTCCTGCGTCTCAACCCCCACTGCAAATGGCGTCCCCGATCCATTCCAATCCTGAATTTGATGAACAGATCATAATCCACAGACAGATAGGCAGACCTCCACTCGCCTCCCCTGCTCGAGACATTCAGTATCTGTTGCGGCAATAACGTACTGTAAGGTGATAGATGCATGTAGATAGTCGACTAAATTTCCACATAGCGGTGATCCTACTTGTATCCATTATACAAGCCTACTCGTTATCAACTTTTGTAGCGCCAAACAGCACCACCTCGTGTCCATCGTATCTTCGTTATGCCAATTGTTTCATTAACTTTAATACGCTTTTGCTTTTTGCTCTTGCCATCATCGGTCGCCGCATCCGTGGGGGCCGACATACCTTGTCTTCCAACACTGGTATTGAATATTCAGCAACGTCCGGCATTGCCCACCGGCCTTCCCAGGAGGGTGCCGTAGCCTTACTGTACAAAATAAACTATGCATGAAGCAAAACTTCCGCTGAGAATAGTTTAGCCGGTTACCGCTTTTTCGTGAGGTGTGTTTGCATCGAGATGGTATTACATAACAAAGCAACGTTTGTCTGAGGACTAGTATGAATAACTAATTTGACCGCAACGCCGGTGGAGTGGATGCTGTCCAGGTCATTCTCGTACGCAACGTCGTTGCAGGAGTCTAGTTAAAGGATTATCAAAGCTACGACACGGAGCCAAATCAGATCCATCCGATATACAAGCTTATAAAAGCGTATACGCTCAAGGCTTTAATGAAATCGT